ATGTGGGACTGTTATAAGTGTAAAATATAAATGTTTCAAGAAATTTTATAATTTAATGCCAGTTACTTGAAAGAATTTATTTTATTTTTGTATTTGTTTTAAAACTAAATATTATGTTTAATAATAATCCATCTATGTACAAATTTATTCAAATTAGAAAAATGGTATTATAAAAGTAAGTTTAGGTATGGATAATTGCTTTAGTTTATTCAGTTCCTATTTGCTGTGTAGGTCCTTAATGTTTTTTCATTGATGATCCTTAAAAGAACTTAATTTCCATGTTCAGAAGTGTGTACGAACCCTGTTACTCTGTTTAGAAACTGAATAATTATTTAGCATGTGAGTAAATCCTTGCTCAGATAAATACCGCTTGCTCACTATGATAAAATGAAGTCAGGGCTTTCTGAAATAAAAAGCTAAGTACTTGGAGTATAAGCAATGCAAAGCATAATAGAATCTCGTAAAATAACCCTAAAAGACCCTACAAATGCCCTACCATTATACAAAGATGAAAATTGGGAGCAAAGTTTCTGTATTTACTGTATCTGGTGTTACAGTTTCATAAACATATTAAGTGTTTAAAAAAGGTGGAGCAGATTTGCAAAGTGAGTTACATGAGAAAAGTATTATGTAGCATAATAGAAAAAGAGGATTTGCTATGCTAAATATTTTGTGAGTGCATATAAAATGAATTAATTTAAACAGTGTGATAGCCAGTTTCCTGATACACACATTCAGGCTGCATGGAATTATGAAAGGCATTGCTACAAAGTTTTTTTTTTTTTTACTAATATTGGGCACTTGCCTATAACGGTATTGGCTACTACTTAGTCCAGAAGCGGTGACCATTTTATTGTGGAGGCACATAATAGGCAGCCACCGTTACCTCCTATGAAGGGACCGACAATTTTACATGCATGCCTTCTCCGGGATTTGAACTCGGACCCTTTGGTATCGTAGTCAGGCTTCCCTAACCACTATACCGACTGGGCGACTGCTATAAAGATCTTGTACTGTATTTAATAAGGTAACACATAAACAGTATCTTAAACAAATCATGAAAAAAAAAAAATCAAGAGGTTCAAATCTAAAAGGTAAAGAGCACAACATGTGGCTATCTTTGCCGATTTTGATAATATAGCTTTGAGGAACAGTTATGGCTTGGTAATATACATTTAGATGATATACCAGCATAGGTGAATATAATCCATTATCGTTTTCCTTTCAGTGATGAATTATGCATTTTTACTAGAAGGGAAACAAGTTTTCCAAACTACTTCTTTTTTTAAATGCTATACATAAAATAGAAAGTGTATGAACTATTAAAATTGTTTTGAATCTCAAGAGTATTGACAAAAGCTTTCTGAAAAAGGCAAATTATGTAGTGGTGTTTATTTTTTATTGAAAAATGCCAAGCAGCCCAAATGGCAGTTCATTTGAAGAGTTCAAAAATATTGAAAAAGATGGTGTTCATCGTAATCACTTACATAGTTTTAAATGCATAGCTTATTTACAAGGAAACAGTTGGGCTGAAATTAATGTCTGTGGTTTCATTCAAAGTGTATTTCTGAAATTGCACATGAATAGATTTTTAAAAAAAGCAAAAGTAGCTTTTTTAGCATGTTCACATAAAAGAGAAAATGTTTGGTTTGTTAAAATTGTAAATTTCCTTCAGTGTTGAGTCTCTTGCAAAGTACTAGCATAAAAAAATCTGATTTAAATGTGTAATATAAGAAAGGAAGTTATCTGATGTTTTTTGACAAGCGTCATTTATTTTTTATTGAAATTTTTCTTGTTTATAAAATTATAAATGTTTGTAGTTCTTAATAAATGAGTTTATGATTTATGTTAATATTGTGATGTAACAGTGAGTTGTGAATATTTTCAGAGTGTATTGAATAAAAATAATCAAAAGTAATGGCAGTTAAAATGCTTGTACATTACTTGTATGCTTTATATTAGAGGTGGCCAGCATCTGTGTCTTTGAGGAGTGTGTGTGTGTGAATATGGCAAAGCCTCGAGGGCTATCTGCCTAAGAGGAGGTATGCCTTCGTGGAGGACTTTCTAAGGGAAACTGGCTCGTATACACGTTACACATGGGGAAAACCACGAAAACGCCCATGCAGCCAGCCCGTTCGCGGGATTCGAACCTCGGACCGAACTACCAGTGTTCAGCGATTTTTACCGCTCGGCCGCTGGTGGACCTCGTGTCTTTGAGGAACGATTTAAGTTTTATTTTGGGGCCATGAGTCATACATTTTGTTATGTTTGGCAGGTATTTAGGAAACTATCCTCAAATAGCAAACTTTTATTTCAAGATTCTTGTAGTTATACATTTCAAACAGTCCTTCCTTGAGGTGTTAGAATTGAAGTATTAAAATACACAAATCCATAAGTTAATAAGTAGTAAAAAATTTTGTTAACTTAGTCACAGGCCATGGTTATGTGGGAGAATGGCGGCAGGTAAGCACATCTGACTCCGTATAACGATTAGTACATTTTTGAGGTTGTGTAATACTGCATTTTTGAACTCTAAACATATTGAAAACAATTGCAGGATGCTCTTTACAGGATTCATGGATAGCATAGAACAGTTATTAAATGAATTACAGGCCTCGTGATATGAGGAACCTGCTAACAAGGGTCTTTGTAGTCGAGAGTTCAAGAGCATTCTGATGAAAAAAATCTTCAGACTGAATTAGCCACACCTCCTTAATTTTTCAGTAGTATTTTACATCCTCTTATTCGTTACATCTGGAACGATAGCAGGAAAAACAAGATCATTGGTTTGTCAGCCCTTCTAAAATCAAGAGGCTTTGACGACAGAGGCAGTGCAAAATGCCAAAATTTCTTGATACTGGTTGGGAAGTTGTCTCTTGTACTGTCAACTGAAACAAATTATTGCATCTGCGGCGTCGGAAGCATGTCATGCAACACATTGTAAAAGCTTGGAAACGGTGACTTGTGGGAACCACAAAATGATTTTCTCATCTCTGTTTGGTCCGCCGCAGTTGTAAACTCCTTTGTACTGGAAAAGGAGTGATGTGAATAAACATCAAAACTGGATGTGGTAAACCCAGGAGAATTCAAACACATCATGATTTACACATTCTGATACAAACACAAATGTTTTGAGTTTTTTTCAACATGAAATCCGAACACCATAATTGTACTGTGTGAAAATTAAGTGGTTAGACCATTACTTATGATTTTTAGCAGTGAAAGTGTAACATGAAATTAACTATAGTAAGAATCCCACAAGCTCACCTTTCTGTAAAGCTCAATGATATCTTTTTATTAATGTGGTGGTTTATTAATAGCTACAGTGTAATAATTTCTAGTATTGCTTATATGATAACAAGCAGTATAGAAGTACATTTTAATTACTGTTTTATAATTACAACACATAACTGTGCACAAGAATGACCATATCTTTCCTTGCTATATTTACTGATTTGTTATGTTATTCTATTTTTGTAATTTTTGTTCATTTCCTTTTGTGATACCAATTCTTGCAACCGTTTAACAAATTTAATGGCATGTCTCCTTTTCATGGAATTTCAATGTATCCCCATCCCTCTCTCAATACCAAAGTAGCTGAAGAAAGTGAGGTAGCCACTGTCAATAACCACTCATATTTCTTTTTGTTGCTAGCCATTAGAAGACTTGCCTGCAGAAGGCTTATGGCTGTATTCTGCTGTAAATTAATATTTCAGTTCATAGTACATGCAACTTTTCAGTTTATGTACCGGCTAACAAGTGTTCTCTCTGCAAATGAAAATATCAAACAAAAAGAAAACAAACTAACATATCAAGGGAAATTTAATTAGGTGAATCAAAGACACTGGACAAAGGGGAAAATTTTAATAAAATTGCCAAGAATATTTAAGGGTGGAATGAACTGCTGCAATAGGATGGAAAAAGAAGGTTTGAAACAAGTATTAATGTGTGAAAAAAGCATGTACTGATAGTATAAAGGAAAGTGTGAAAGGTGGTGAATGCAGGAATTTGAGTGAGGTGCTTGCTGTATTTGTATTTATTAGGCAGCAAGAAGAAAAAGGAACACTAATTTTGCAAGAGAAAACTCTCAAATTATATGAGAAATTTCAGAAAAGAAATCTTGCATCTGCTGCTCTGCTAGCTGACTAGACAGCTAGAAGAAGTGTTAGGCATCACAGTTAAATGAATTGGGCAAAGAGGCAGGAATTTCGAAAGGAAGAGCCCACATTTACTGTTAGTGTTAGCTGGTTTGATGAGTGGAAGAAATGGTAGGCATCTCAGTTAAATGCTTTTGCCAGAAAACCTCTTTGTTGACTTGAAAAATTTTAATAAATGCATGGAAAATTTCTACAAACAAATTGATGAGGAGACCCTGAGGATCAAATTTTCAATTATGTCAAGTGTTGTCTATTTTCAAATGCTTCCCTCTAAAATGCTCGAGGAAAGAAAAATCTGCTCTCATTTATAAAAGAAGAGAATTATTGTGACAAGTGGCAGTGAAACAGGCAACCATGAACTCAAACTAGCACTTGTAAGAAAGTTGTAAAATAATGTCCACGCATTTAGAAATGGGAAAAAGGCATTAATGGACTTCTATGATTTGCTAATTTTGTACAAGAATCAATCAAATCAGTAATTAAATAGAACTATTTTTAATGATATAATTAAGCATCATGAAATTTTTTTAAATGACTAGTAGTTATTTTTTCAAATGACTAGTGTTTTCTAAGTCATAACAATTACTTTTTCTGTGTTCCGGATTATGCTGGAAATACCTTTTTCTTCTCTAAAACTCGAGATTTTTGATAACTCGTTAACCCCTTAGTCCACATTTGGCTGAGTTCATGGGACTCTGCGCCATTAATTGTGAGAAAGGTGGCCCTTATGTTTGTGATTACTGTTTTTATATTGGTTGTGATCGTGTATCATTATCTGTACTAAATTTATATGAACACAAATTAATCAAGTTTTTTTTTTATTTTTTTTTTAAATCTTTTCAGGAACATTATCTAGTAAAGATGATGATAGCAGTGAAATATATGCAGATGCAACCGCTGCATTCTTGGGACCAAATATTTGGGAAAAAACCTTATCTGATTTTAAAGTTGAATACCTTGATTTGGATGACTTGTTATCTAATTCTAATGATGGAAGTCAAATTTATTCAGAGGCTGTAGATGCTGGTGGTCAAGTTTCACATACATCTCAAGAGAATCCAAATATATGTGTAACAGGTAGTTAAATTATTTTAGGTGTATGAAGAATGAAAATAAAAAGATTAAATATACTTTTTAAAGTATTGTGAACTTGAAAATTTCTTTCATTAATTTATTTATAGGGAAAATTATGTAGTTTAAAGGGACTGTCTTTTAATTGTTAAAGATTAAGATTTATTGTTAAGTAATTGAGCCCCAAAGCTTGGGTAATTGTTTCCAGTTAAATAGTATTAAAAATAATTATGTCTTTAGGGGGTACTAGGAGAAAATTTCAAAGGATTACTGATAAATGAATCACTGTTTATAGCAATTAAAATTTCTTTCACCTTTAATTGTTATTATTGTATGCTTTGATTTTGGATAAAATCTTCTAATTAGTACAGCCAGTAAAAATAAATGATACACTATTCATACAGATGGGTATTTTAGTAATAAAATATTTGTTTATGCTATCATCTGACATATTATGGAATGTTGGAATAATTTCATAGCAAAATTAAATAATTTTAACCTCAGAATTAAAATAGAATTATACATACATTAGCTATGTGCTGAAGTTCTGAAATTATTGGGGTTATTTTAGAGAGATAGTTGAGCATTTTTTATATCTGTATCAGATATATAAATCAATGTACTTGATTGATATAATATTGGACGCACCATCTGTATAGCTTGTCATTATTTCTAAAGAATTAAAATCGGCCTTTTTTAAGGTATTGAGAATACTAAATGCTGTGGAGGCCTGTGTGCTTTATCTGTATTATATGTATTTTCACCTTTGTTAATGCATCTAATGTTTTACTGAACCAAGTTCAGATAATTTAAGAGGAATCTTCAGGTCACTAAATAATCTGCTCATGTTAAAGCTTCTATCTCTTCCCTCCTTTTTTTTTTTTTTTTTTTTTTTTCCCATATCTCATGAGCTTCTGGTATATCACCATTATCTGAATTTCTTATTTTTACCTTATTTTCTATGAAGAAAATAAATTTATTGAATTAATGAAATTTTTTCACTCTGGGTGATATTCAGCATATTTTTTTTTTTTATTTAGATTTTATTTGATCTGAATTCACTTATTCTTTAGTAGAACTTTATGAAGATTCAGTTAATTAGTCAGTAAATATTTATATTTAATTTTGTTTTGGTGCATTACGTAGTACTTTGGGGGCAAACTTAGTGCATTAATAATTAATGTTATCTTCAGTGTGTTTTTAATAAGTGTATGAGAGAGAAAAAGAGTGTATGCTTGTACAATCTTTTCAGGTTACAAATTAAATGGAAATCATGTCAAAAAATCTTTTTCTGTAATATCTCAACAGTAAAATAGTATGTTGAAAAATCATAAACTGTTTTTATATTGTGGTATCTTTTAGCATTGTAATTTTTTCTACAGGATACCATGTTTGATATTATGCGATGTAGATTGTGTCTTGAGGAAATCTCGGCAGCTGTCATCCATCCTTGTTAAACAGACTGATTTAATTATTAGTAATGTCCATATCTTCATTCTTAACTGAAAATGCTGAATATCTTTCTACTAATGACATAGGCCTATTTGTAAACTTTTATGAAACTGCAGAAAATAATATAATGTTTTAAAAATAAAAAAATTCTACTTGCATTCTTGCAATATCTCACCCAATAAATCTTGAAAAGTATGATTTTTAATTCGCTGTGTGATAATATTTTATTTTATTAGCAGTCCATTCCCTTGGGGCTGTTTCTTCACAGCCATCATCTCCTGCTGATACTTCAGCTGTGCAAGAATTACCGAAAGATAACAGAGTATACACTGTAGACTGTAAATTTTCGCCTACAGATTTAGCATTAGCCACACCTCCTGGACACAAGCACTATGATCCAGCTTCTGCAATTATCCCAGAAGAGGAGTTGAAACCCCAGCCAATAATCAAAAAGTCTCGAAAAACTTTTGTTCCTGACAATTTAAAGGATGACAAGTATTGGGCTAGAAGACATAAGAACAATATGGCTGCAAAGAGATCACGTGAAGCACGCAGATTAAAAGAAAATCAAATTGTTCTTAGAGCTTCATATCTGGAAAAAGAAAATAATTCTTTAAAAGAAGATGTTTTGCGTCTGAAAGCTGAAAATGATATGCTGAAAAATCAGTTAAAGGAATTTCAGTCATGAAAGCTGACCTGCATTTTCTAAGTTTTGACATGGGGGCACATTTGAATGCCTTGCATTTTCTGAAATTGCCCTTTGTTTATTTTGTTGTACATTTCGCATGTTAGTTACCTTCTGTAAGGTAGCTTATTGTAGAGATAAGTAATTGTGTTTGTTTATAATTTTGTTTTTATTCAGTTCTTAATTCACTGCATCTTAAATAATTGAGAGAATCTTATTTTTGTTATCATAAACAAAAGTTCATTACATTTTATGAGACAGAAAAGTATTCTCTTATTTAGAAGAGTGAATAATCTTTGGTGAACATGTATCTGTTTTTGCCTTCAATGTTACTTTTGCCAAAGTTGTAAAATTTTGTCGTGTGGAAAATAAAGCATAAGATTTCTAAATGTACGTGGATACTTAGAATGCAAGTGCAGAGGAGCACAGGCACTGATTTACTTGCTCATAGTGATGAGACTGCTTATCTTGTTTCTAAGCATTAAGCTTTTTAATTATCAACAACATGAAAACAATTTTGGCTGTTACTTATTGTCAAGTTGCCATGCTGTGTTGCCATGTGTCATTTTGTAATTTAACGTGTTATTTAAGTTTTAAAGGATATAAAAATTAACAACTGTAACATTTTACATTTGTAGCAATTATAGTAGAATTGACACCAGTCTTTTAGAATTTGTTTTGAATTTTTTATGCAATTTGAATTATACTTTGTTTTATTCATTTTAGTAGTCATTGTCATTACTTTCTGCATTGTTGAATCATTACTGTAATTTTGCATGTATGTTTTACAGATCATTTTCTGAAGTTCAAATGTCGGTGGTATGAGTATATGCATTTTTTCCTTTTATTTTTGTGATGCTGATTTGTTTTATTAATGTTGTAAAGTTGTGCCATCTCAGACAAAATGAGGGCATCCTAAAGATATACTTGCTAGAAATTGGTAAGTACAATTGACGATTGAATGAGCTATTTTCCTTGTAATATATTTTGTACAGTTCATACTTTATTAGATCTTATGAAACCAGTTCTGAGTATTTTACTTAAAAGTTTACATCATGAATAGCAATTTTTTAATGATCCAGTAAAGTATTTCGTGAAAGATTTCATATAAAATTCTCTATTTTCAGGTATTTTGCTTTTATTTGTGAATAATCAATATAGTATATTTATACATATATATATATATATATATATGAATGAACATATGTTTTGTTAAACTTGTTTTGATATTTTTAACATTGGTTATATATTTTCGGAGTTTTACAATAGGCTCTTCTTGTATGATTACAGCAGTTTTCGCATTTTGTTCTAATGAAAAAAAATCTGCTAAAACTAGTTTATACCAAACTATTTTAAAATGTTCTATTTTTAATGGCTAGAGTAATTAGGGGTTTTTAACTTGATCTTCTAATGTTAAAACTATTAAAACTTGTCAGTTTTAATAGTTAAAGTTGCTGTTGTATTGTGTGAATGAGGCAGAATTTGGCCCATTATTATTTTTAATTAATAGTACTGTCTTACTGATTAATATAGTATGTTGTTGAATTTGGCACTGCAGTGTTTCATACTTAGCAATTATTTTCTTTGTGCTATTGAGTTGTGTGCAAATATATTAAAATACTTAATTCGTCATTAAATCCAAAGCACACTGTTGCATACAGTATTGAAGTGCAAAAGGTAAAAAGTAGTTTGTTGTTAATCACATATTGAAGTAGAAAAGTGTATGGAATTTTGAATATGTTATATGTATGGTACAAAGGTATATAAGCAAAGTAGTATTATGTTAAACTCAAATATATGTTATGTTAATTGCAAAAATTTATAAATGTTTTTTCTATTTGTTACAGTTTATATGGTAGTCTTTATTTAAAAATCTACTGGATCTTTTTTTTTTTTTTTTCTTGTCCCAAAGAGGCTGTAATTAGATCACCAGCTTTTGTGTTGAACTCCAAAGGTTTCTTTTGGCAATCAATTTCAAATTGTTACACTGATTACCACACAAATTTGGTGCCTTAAAAATTATTCTTGTTTTCTGATATATTTAAGGGTACTGGTTTTCTGGCATCAGTTTAGCTGTGAGAGCTACAACTTTTAGAGGTATAGGATAATCACATCATTATATGCCAGTTGACTTGAAATAACTTTGCATATGTCGTATGAATATGGACATTAATATACAATTAAGCACCTATATGTTAGTGTTAAGGTTTGATATTAAATTTCTATAAATTAAGGTTTGATATTAAATTTCTATAAATAAGCAAACTTTTAATTTTTATACATTAAATTTAACATTAATGGAGCATTTACTGAAATTGAATTTTGTAATATGTTTAAAATTTAGTATTACTTCGCTATCAGTCTTGATTCATCTGTTACTCAATGCATGAAAAACTTCTTTTAACTCTTTGAGGGGCAGGAAAAGGCAATTAACTTTTTCAGCAAAACTTTTGTTTTATTTACTATATTAGGTGCTACAATTGCACATATTTTGTCCAAGACTCGGGGGAATAAAATGACCACTTCTGGTGGTTAGTGTCAGTGACCACAGAACACATCCTTACAAATCAGTCTCTATGGTACTCGTGGAAACAGTTTTTCTTTTTCAAGCAGAGTGCAGCTATGCATGTGCTGCATCCCCACACTGTTCTTACAGGCATTTTCTTGGTGTTGCAGAATGCACGTCATCGTGATGTTGTCTTCGATGGCTGATGCTTATTTTCTTGCAGGCGAATTGCTGCATCAACTACTGGTTATGTTTCTTGATTGCCATCTGGTGAGCTGCAAGGGAACTTCAGAAGTGGTCAGTCTTAAAAACCACTCGCATGAGTTAGTAAGATGTTTAATAGAAAAGTTGGTTACTGTAGGTAACCACCGCCTTTCAAAGAGTTAAGGCATTTCATAAAACTACATTCTAAAGCTCTGACAATATGCCATCATATGAATATACCATTGTCATTGGTAACCCTTCCTTGATTTTTATGTACATTCTCAGTGCTTTTAACTTGGAAAACTGAAGTTTTTTTAAAAGATATGTGTGGGCAGTCGTGTAGGTAATTCATCTCTGTTCTTAAGTTTGCAGAAACAGAAAACAGTTTTATACCAGTTAAGAGTTGTTCTCTGACTTCCGTTTGCGTAGAAGTTTTTTAGCAACTAAAACATATGAAGTCCAGGCTTGAGATTTAATCATGTTTGTTGCATTTATGAAATGTTAACTTCTTATGAGTTTTCTTATCTGAGGACCATTAAGAATTCCTGCTGTAAACTTTCCATGGTGTATTCAGGAAATTCACTTGATGAGTAAATAAAGCAGTATCCTCCTATGTTCAGAATTATCACAAATTCTTTTATCATCCCTAGCTTGATACATTATAATGGCAGAATGATGGTATGCCTACTTATTTACTCACATTTTCTGGATTATTTCTTTTCTCAAAGGCAATCCAAATCCTGTCATAATTTTTTTTTATCTGTTCCCTCAAACTTAAGTATAGAAATTTTATTTGTAGGCTTAGGCTAAGGAAAAGTTTATTTTTTAGGTCATTGAAGGTGACCTGTTGAAGGTCTGGGTCCTTTTTTAGTCTCTTGTTTCATGTTTCTGTTATTCCGATTATGAGTAGGAATATAATTTCATAATATATATAAAGAAAATATTAAATTCCATATGAGGCTTAATTTTAGGATCATTGATGTATTATCATTAGAGATAGTTATGTCATATTTCCACATTAACTGAAGCTAATATGGATAAACTGATATTTTTTAAAAGCTTCAAAAATATATGCAAGAGTAAATTTCCAGAGCACTAAAAAAATTTTATTGACTATTGTTATTGGATATATATGCAAGACTAAATTTCCAGAGTACAAAAAAAATTTTTTTGGATATGTACTCATTTGTTGTAATGTTTAAAAGCGTAGACTCAAATGCAACTGATATGTTTTGTATTTGTTTGATAGATGTTTTGTATTTTAATGGTTTTCTAAAATGTCAGTAATTTTCTTGTTTCTGAACAGATGTTTATTCTGTATGTATTATTGGTTATCAAATGTTAAATAAAATCTGCAATGTGTTTTAAATTTGTACATTAGTAACTGGCAGTCATCATTTAAGTGATATTATATCTTGTTCTACAAGTATATGTAAAAACGGATGTATCTTCAGTGATTTGTGTGATCACTTGTTTCTCATTATTTTAAACTAGTGTCAAAATGTGAATTTGGTAATGCTCCATTTCTACTTATTCAAAAAGGTGATTGTTATCTTAGTCACATATTGAAAAGTAGAGATTTGCTGAAAATTTAATTCCTGATTGTTAATTTGTTGAATTTCATAATATTTGTAGAATGTTGTTATTGAATAAAACTTTAAAATTCTTACCTTTATTGTTATTGCCATTTGATTTTTTACAGGAATAACATTAAGGTAGAAATGACAGTTTTGATTTTTAGTTTTTGTAAGTGAAATTAATCTTAATTCTTTCTATAAATTTCATTTATATTTTATTATTATTTAGCTTTTAAAAATGAAATTTATTTTGAACAAATGAAAGTTGCTTTAATTCAAATTTTGAAACTTCTAAGCAAATGCTGGTATCAAGGTTTCAAAATTGAAAAAATTGTGCACTTCCACCCTTTTATCTAACAGCTAAACGTGTAGGAATTTATTTCCCATCTGGTAATTGTACAAAGTCGCTTGAAGAAACTGCTAATGAGGTTCTTAACAGAAGCTTTCCCACGGACATTTTAGCACGGATAATTTGTTTCATAGAATGATTAGGGCTGAAGCTTATGTTGCTAATCCAGATTCTCCATTTACTATGTCAGAAATTAATAGTGTTATAGAAAAACTTAAATGCAAAAAAGCTCCTGGTCTTGATTCTATATCAAACGAAATTTTGAAGCAAGTTCATAGAATGTTTCCAAATTTATTCTCCAAAATATTCAATACTTGTCTGAGGCTTGGTTCATTTTCTCGTTGCTGGAAAACAGCGAATGTCGTTTTAATCCCTAAGAATAGTGGTCCTCGTATCCCGCATTTAGATAACTTGAGATGCATTAGTCTTCTTCCCAGTTTAGGAAAATGCCTAGAAAAGCTGTTTGTTAATAGAATTACCTGGTTCTTGCATAATAAAAAACTGCTAAATAAAGCACAGTTTGGTTTTACCCCTCCTAAGAGTTGTGAAGATGCTCTTTTGTACTTAAAAGACATAGTGGACGAAGGTAAGAAGAGAAATTTACACGCACGCAGTTTTAGTGTTTCTTGAGACCAAGCCTGGTGGCCTGGGATACTTATTTTTTTAAGGAAAGCTGATATTCCGTGTAATATTTACCAACTTATTAAAGATTTTCTGCATGACAGATCTGCATTGCTCTCCTTTGGCCACGTTTCTTCCTCCCGCATTTTGGAAAGAGGTTGCTCTCGAAGCTCGGTTTCCGGACCTTTATTGTGGAATTTAATTATGAATGATCAACTCAATAGACTCTCACTTTGTCCGAGTTGTAAAACAATTGCTTTTGCTGATGATCTACTAATTTGCTTTCAAGAGAAGTGCCCCATTTAATATGGCTCAAAACACCCTTAATTATTTCCAATTGGTCCAGAAAACAGAAATTGGAATTCAATCCTAATAAATCTAAAATTATGATAATTAAAAGAAAGCATGTCAGCTATACAAACCAACAACTGCACTTGGATAATACTACTTGAACACCGTACTTGATCACCTTACTTGAAACGGTGAATGAAATTAAATATTTAGGCGTTATTCTTGATCATAAGTTTTGTTGGAAAAATCATATTATGTATTTATCCAATAAGTGTGAAAATATACTTAGAGGACTTAATCGTGTCTCTTGCAATACTTTTGGTTTAAATTCTAATGTTATTGATATGATTTATAAGCAGGGTATTGTCCCCTTTATTTGCTATGCTTCTAAAGTGTGGGGAACAGCTTTAGAAAAGAAGATTAATTCCCGTATACTTCGCAGAATTCAAAGAAGAATTTTACTAAGAGTTGTGCGTGGCTACAGAACAATTAGCTATGAAGCCTGTTTCGCAATTTCAGGATTTCCTCCGATTGACCTTCATGTTTTGAATGACAAAAAGTTTAAAGATACCATCAGCAAATTTATGTTCGATACCAAGGTGTTGTTTGAAGATCTTCCTCATCCTGCCAATCGTTTGCCAATTCAAACTACCATTTATGACAATTCTGTTGATGATAATTTCCCTGTTGTGTGTTATACAGATGGCAGTAAAATTAATAATCGAGTTTGGATTAGCTTATGTCGTTTTCCATAATGGTTCTGAACTGGAATACAGACTCATTAGAATTCCCAATGAATGCAGTGTTTTCCAAGCCGAATTACTGTGCATTAATGAGTCAATTAAGTGGATATCTAACAACTGTTCGCTAAGTGCTAAATTTCTTATTCGCACTGATTCTCTTTCATCCTTATTTTCTCTTAGGAATATCTTCTCATATAATAAATTAATTGTGACTTCCCATGCTCTTCTTAAAGACCTTAATAATAAAGGTGTTGATGTTATCTTTTCTCATGTACGTGGCCACACTGGCAATCTAGGAAATGAAAGGGCTGATTGGTTGGCAAAACAAGCTACACATCTTCAAGTAATTACTTTAATGATACTTCCTAAGTCATTTTACAAGAACAAAAGTAGGGATGATACAATACTCGAGTGGAATGAACTATACAGGAATTCTACTACTGCCTCTTTGACTAAACTATATTTTCCTTCCATTCCTCACAGACTGAATAATAAACACTTTTTCTGCAATTTTGAAGTTACTCAATTTCTAACTGGACGTGGTAAATTCAATTCATATCTGAAGAGATTTAGATTATCTAGTACAGACTTGTGTTCATGCAGTTTCGGGGGAGTGCAAAATGTCGAAATGTTGTTCTATTGTTCAAAGCTCAAGGAAGGACGAAAGGAACTCATTTCTAGGTTAAACTCTGCGAATATTACATTTCCTCCCCCTCTTCATATATTTGTCCAACATAAAATGGCTTTCTCTTTCTTCTGTAAATTTATTTCTTACGTATCATCTGTGAATTTGTAAGTTTATTTTATTTTGTTGTATTTTTTTTTTTTTTTTTTTAAATTTTTTTTACTTACCTCTGTAAGCCTTGTGTAATACTATGTGGTGCACAAGGATTTAAAATTTTCAATAAAAAAAAAAAATGTGTAGGAACCTTGTAAACAGATAAGCGAATAATCGCTTTAGTTCAGGGAAAAGCGTCATAAACACAAGAAGGGTCAATTATCCTTTATTTCTCAAAATAAGAATTTAACAATTTGCTCCTTTCTCAGAGCATACAGCAAAGTATCCACTTGGGCCTTGAACTCAAAGTAATAAGAAATAAATCTTAACTAAAAACATATAACCAAAGCTATCAAATTTTTAGGTAGTTAGCCCCTAAATATCGAATAAGCTAGCGAGGCTATCAAGGGCTTGAAATACCACTGAGCGTAGTAATAGATTAGAGAGAGACGTAGCCAAAGGCGAACACGCCCTAATCAGAAACTCCATTGCCCTCGCTGGAAGTCAGTGGAACTCCGACTTAAATACCTTACTCATTTGCATTCTGGTATGAAATTTTAAGCTGAAATTAGGCAGGAAGATGTTTTTCTCACTAAGTGATTTGGGGGGCTCACAATGCTGCACAGTCGTAAGCACACCTTTGTCGACAGATGTGGCTTCATTCAGCTCACTCTACAAGCATGCTCTTTGAGTGGTAATATCTGTGTGAATTTTCTCGAAAAGATGATTATGTGAAGTTATATATGTGGGTGTTTTGTGTGCTTGATACAATGTTTATAACAGGGCTTTTGTAAATTCAGTTCAAATAACAGGGCTTTATAAATTCAGTTTGTGCATGATAAATACATGCTGGCGGAAGACTGTAATAAATTAGATACTGTAAATCATGTAACGTTAGTTTGATGTTGCCGTAAACTGTTATTGTCCAGATGTTTCCCGGAAGGGAAGATGTGGGAATCAGGAAGAAAATAATTAAACACAGTGCAAGAAAATAGTGATTCAGTTTTCTGTTGAAAGCCTGGCAACGCTTTGCATTTACATCTGCGTTCTACTAGCCATATTTATTTCTAACAAAATCGGAGAACTCATTCTAAAAGTTCAGGTAAGTCTTGTTAAATCCTTTAAATTATTTAACAATGAAATATACAATTAATATATAGAGAAAATATAATGGAAGTAATTGCCATTCTTTTTCATATAAGTCTTTTAATACTTATATTGTAGTATGAAATAATTTAATTTTTAAAATATCTAATACTTTTTGCCTTTCTAAATTCATCATATCACGAGTATTTTCTGAATCTCACTTTTTGAGATTTATTGATTAATGGTTGTAATAATTAAATAATTGTAGTACTAAAGAGTAACATTTGAACAAAGAGCACTGAATGGACACTTGCATATGTAATCTTCAATTTTTAATTTTTCAGTTTATAAACTAGGTTTTAAAAAAATTCTAAAGGAATCTTACTAATGAATAATATTAATAACAATGATCGGGTCATAATAATAATTTAATGTTTCCTGTTATAGCACTAAAAATGAAAAGAGAAAGTGGGGCTTTGTATCGAAATAAAAGAAAAGCCAAGGAAGAAAAAATGAAGGGGCTATCCTAAAATACGTGAAAGTTCCTATTTCCAAAACACCAGACTTGTCCACTTCGGATGTCAATTCTTCCAATACTATTGCGGATGCTGTTGAAAACATGAATCATACTACACCAAATGGAGTTACGAGGCGTCTAACGCGAGAATGGTTTTATCGCACATTAACTAATGGAGAAAATGTGTTATGTACTTGGATGGCTTATTTTCTTCCTAAAGCAGCATTATTTTACTTTTGTCGTCATTTGTTTGGTCACACAAACACACCGAGTGAATCAAAATTTTGCTTACTTTGGATTTAAAAATTGGCAGAAACTAAATTCCAAAGTAGCCAACTACGAATCAAGTGCTCAACACAACCAAAATTTTTGCAAATGGAAGGAGTTAGAAACCAGACTTCAAAAAGACAGACAATTGATTAAAAAAAAAAAAAAAACTATATGTTGTGGCAAAGGAAACAAAAACGTGGGAAGAAATTCTTGTTAGAATGTTTGATATAATTAAATTCTTAGCGAAACAGAATTTGGCTTTTCGTGGCCATGGAGAAGACAATACCAGCGCAAATAGAGGCAACTTTTTAGAACTGGTGTATCTCCATGCAAAGTACGATCCAGTACTCCGAGAACACTTGCGTATTTTTACTTCCTCCCTAGGAAACGCAACCCGCGACTAAATTTGGCGATTTATCAGGTCTTGGCAAAATTGTGACACCAAGCGCATGCGCAAAAGGAAATAACTCTGTCGGTTTATGCTTCAAAATTTGTGATGACTGTGAGTATGTCAAACAAAGTGGAAAAATGAATTTTATAAAATTTTATTTGATGGATATTCGTACGAAGTAGTGTCTTCTAAGTTCGGAGGAAAAGAGGATTTCGACTTTGAGATCAGATGTGATCTTAATAGTAAACATAGATGGGAGAATTGGAAAATACATTTTGAAGCTGTTTCCCACGTGCATTGGATTGTATCTTCCAAAACAAAACAATGCAAATCGGAAACAGCAAAGTTTATTTTTAAGAAAGATTATGTGGGACATGCAAGACTAAATAAGAAAGAGGCTAGTTTCAGAAGTAAAGAATGTTTAGCTGCTTTGCATGTCAGAATTAAAAAAAAAATAATAAGTATACAAGATGTCGTGATGAGTATATAAAAAAGAATCTGTGTACTTTGATTAAAGTTTCATTTCGGCATACACATCGATGTGATGTTGATGAAGCGTAGAATTGCTTACGCCCAATTGATTCGGTGAAAGAAGTTTTCATCAACTACTTTCGTGCCGATAAAATAACAATAATAATATTTTTATTCTGCTATACATCCACAGAGTTCACTGTTAGTAAATACCGTCAAAATGGTGACGATAAAGGCAGTCTCATAAACGTGTATCTGAACATAGAGAATTGTTCTACCTAATGTGGGCAATATGTTTCATTACTTTTCGTGATATTCAGTACCTCATGTTTCGTACAATGAATTTTACTTAAGATATCGGTATTATTTTAATTGCACAATGTGAGCTGTGTGAACAGGGGCTTTGTCGTCTTGGAAGACTTCATCACCATCGGGGAACAAAGTTTGTACCATGGGATGAACTTGATAGGCCAAAATGTTCACATAAGTCTTGGCAGTCATGTGCCCTGACACAGTTATCATGGGGCTAGCAGAGAACCACGATATGGCTGCCCAAACCATAACAGAACCCCCGCCATATTTCACTCTTGGCAACAAGCAGTTTGTATTATAGGCTTGAGATGGCGTTCTCCAGACGTAAACTCGGCCAGAAGTGGGAACAATGTGAAAGAAGACTTGTCAGATCATATTACTCGCTTCCACTGCTCTATAGTCCAGGCCTTTATGACTTAAACACCACCTTTTCCTGTTATGGGCATTAGCATCACTGATGAGTGGCTTCTCAATTGCAGCACGGCCAGCAATTCCCTGTTTATGAAGCTCCCTTCTAATTGTTTTGGTACTCACAGGGTTCGGTAACACAACATTCATTTCAGCAGTAACTTTTGCAGCTGTGGTCTTCTTATTTTTCGTCACAATTGCCCTTAATGATCGTCTGTCACGATCACTCAGGACACACTTTCGTCCGCGCTGTGATTTAGCAGATGATGTTTTTCCGCTTTTCAAATATGCAGAATAAATCTTCGATGCAGTACCTCTTGAAACACTAAACACCTCGGCTACCTTGCTTACGGAAGCACCTACCATACATGCTCCAACAATTTGCCCACGTTCGAAGTCTGTTAACTCTGACATAATGCAATGACAACCTCACATAACAGTACTCCGACAACAACTGAACTGTTTAGTACATTTTCCAAGTTGTATAGGTGGCGTCAGTAGTCAAAAATGCCAGCGCCACCTACATATTTCATTAAAATCAATCTTTCTTTTCAAACATGCATTTCACAAGGTGTTTCCATATTTTTGTCCATCCACTGTATGTGCCCAGTTCTGTCTCATTTTGAAACAATGACCAGGAGATAGATCCAAAGATCATCTACCCCTCTTTCGTTCCCATTAACTCTTGAGGACTTATTGTTCCATGCTATCTAAAATTAGAAGTGCTGGAGCCCTATGGAAGACTGTGAGGAAGGAAAGAAAAATAAATAAATAATTAAATAATAAATATTAATTAATTTGATTAAATTAACTAATTGAATTAAGAAAAATGTAAAGATAAAGAGAATTTAATAAATTATTAAATTAATTTTGTATAGTTAAATAGGAAAAAAAAAGTATCGGACCTCGTCTTATTTGAGGCATCGTCCTGAATTACAATTCCACTTAGATGCTAAGAGGCAGCTTATCCAATCTGAGTTTAAGCACTGATTATACATAAAATGTACTATTCCAAGGGATGACAAGTATCAGTCTTTTTTTGCAGCACACTATGGAAAAAAGATAAAATGATTAAAGCTCCTCTAAGGAGAATAGTGAGAATTCTAGAAACAGTATGAGGGTATGGAAAGAAATTTAACTGAAAAGTGTAGCTTTGAAAATAAAGAGGGAAGAGTTCAAGACTACCTGATCGCAATGCCTTGTCGATATAACTCTAGCCGTCAAGCAAAAATTTTTCCTGAATGCAACGTGAGAATAAATATAAGACTTCTCGGTACAAGTGGCAGCAGTGGTCCCCCCCCCCGTTTGGTTACATCGTTCAGAGAGTCTACAGCTTTGCAGAAGGTTTTTGGTTTGTGTAATTATGGCAAAGTCTCGAGGGCTATCTGCCTAAGGGAAGGGATGCCTTCGTGGAGGACTTTCTAAGGGAAACTGGCTCGTAAACATGTTACACTTGGAGAAAACCACGAAACGCCCATGCAGCCAGCCCGTTCGCGGGATTCGAATCTCGGACCGAACTACCAGTGTTCAGCAACTTTACCGCTCGGCCGCTGGTGGGCCTCTGCAGAAGGAAGTTACTAACTAGCATGGAACGTGCACAACCAGGGCGTCACTTTTAGTTCTTTGAGGAATACAAAATTTACCCACTCTCATAAATTCATTGCATATCCTGGAGAATAAGCATTTGACATATAATTGGGGGCTTTTCTTTCCTCAAAAGTCTCAACCTCTGTGCAAGGCTTGAGTGCGATAGAAAGCCAGGCTTGCATTCAGAAGTTAGAATCAGATTTTTAAGACATGTTTACTATTAAAACAAAATTTCTGTGTTAAAATTGTGGTTCACTAGCATAAAAAAAGTGCCTGAGCCCTTTCATTTAGGGCTCCGGCTGAAATTATAATTTATCTCGAAAACTGAGAAGTACCAGAGCCGGGCTCTGGCGCAATTTAAGCTCTGCTATATACACAAATTGAAGAGAAATTTAAATACCACCAACCTGCACCCCTTTAATTCTCATTCTAAACTTTTCAAAATAAATACAGATTTATCGTATGAATACAGTGCATCAAAACAAAAATATATGTGGTACTCAATTTTTTTTTTTTTTTTTTTTTTGTTCATTCTTGAAAAATCTCTTATGTGACCTCAATAATTTGAAAGAAAAAAATTAAATTATATCTGAACAATGGCAAGTTCTGTATTTTTAGTAGAAAGCCCACTCAATCCCTAAATAGTAACAATAAGTATTTAGGATTAATAAATATTTTTAATATTTGGAAATTTATTATTCCTGAATTATATGAGCCCACCAGCGGCCGAGCGGTAAAGTCGCTGAACACTGGTAGCTCAGTCCGAGGTTCGAATCCCGCGAACGGGCTGGCTGCATGGGTGTTTTCGTGGTTTTCCCCATGTGTAACATGTATACGAGCCAGTTTCCCTTAGAAAGTTCTCCACGAAGGCATCCCTCCTCTTAGGCAGATATCCCTTGAGGCTTTGCCGTAATTACATAACCTAACCTAACCTGAATTATATGACTACAATAACTAAATCCTTTATGCCACTTCTCTTTTACAAAGGTCTTAAATTTACTCTCAGAAAGAACTAAGGGTTTTAAAAGAAAGCATAGGTTTTTCATTTTTCTAGAATGAAAATGTGAAATTATTATTTAGCATTTTTATTTAATGTAATGACTGCAAAAATGAAAGATGTAATTTTAAGAAAACATACTGATCTGAGGCAGTTTTTTTTAAAATGCTTTGATCATGTATGAAAACGAATTTTTGTTTATCGAATATATTATTTTTAATATTTTGTGCAAATCTTGACACAATATAAACTTGAATTGCCAGTACTATGAGCAAACAGGCATAGAAATCATAGGAATAGTACACACTCAAAATAGTGCTAAATGATCCTTGTTCTTCCTTAGATCGGATCTTTGACAACTCAGGATACCAAACACAATCTTTACTCAAACAACTGTAATTATAATGCACTTGCTACCCTTTTAAATTTTTAAGGGCTAATTAATAATAAAGATATTAGTAATTAGACTATGTATTTATTGCATCATTTTATATTTCAGTAGTTTTAATTTTTTTAATATAATTTGAAAGATTTGTTTTGTAATCTGATAACATTTTCTCATTTAAATTGATGGTAAATGGCTCTTTGCTTTATACCATTTTGTTTATAAAAATGTATTGAAAAACCTAATTTTAATTAACACGTTGAGCACCGCGCCGAATTTGCTGTCCTTTCCGTTCAGCCGGCAGCGAGCTAAGCCGTATTTTTGTTTAGAATGTTTCAATACATTTCATTAAAACTAAATTTGATCACATTTCATTGAGACTATATTTATTTTTTAACTTTAATACTGTCGGTCCCACGGACCAACGCCAGCCAAACGAAAATTCCAGTTGCCGGTTCCCCAGGGACCGGCGCCGCGCTCTCAACGTGTTAAAATTTGAAAATTGTTCTGTAATTATATCAGCTTGACACTATTAATTAAAATAATTGCCATAATTTTCAAACTTTAAATTTCAAGATAGTTATTTCTTGTAAGTGCGTAGTGCATATTAATAGCACATACCCTAAAACAGCAACAATATGCCAAACTTATGGTGTATATAATCCTTGCTGTATAATCTAGACATACCTAGATATAAAATTAAACAAGTTACATTGAGATAAAGGAAAAAATATTAAAAACAAGTAAAAATATTTTCATGCTTTTAAAATGAGATACATTTCTTGCAAGAGAGGTAGCACATAAAATTATCATTTTGCCAATGTAATTAATATTTAAACACTACAATTGTCAAATTACTTCGCTGACACGTTAGAAATAATTTTTCTCTTGCAGTAAATGCTTCTATATTATAAATCTTATGTCGATTAAGAATTTTGTTAACTTGTTCAATGTTCATACGATTGCCATTAACTCCAATTTGCTGGCATGATAAATGCTTCTGTATATTTTTTAACAATTTTCATAAAAATTAAAATTTGTAAGACATAATTTCCAACATTTAGAATTGTGCACTGTTGTAATTTAAATGAGAAATCAACTAGGATTTGATAAAATAACATTTAACAGACTTCAGAAACAAGCATGAGACATACCTAGATATAAAATGGTTGAAAAAATTTCCGCATATAATTGTCCCAATCAACAACTGTATTGCATATTACAAAACTCAACTGAGGTCAGTCCATGGTAGCAATGGTACATAAATTTTACAGCTCGAGGAAATTTAGATGCGATCCTTCAAACCAAGTGCGAGATCTGGGAAAGATTAAGATTGAAACGTTATTTTGGTGTATCGTAATATGTAAAACACATCATTTCAGGATTATTTTTACAAAATTTTCAGCTATGAGGAATCCCTTTATTCTGTAATAATTTCACTGCTTCTTCCTCTTTTTTTTTTTTTTTTTTTTGTAAATTCCAGACAACTTTGCTATTAAACAAGAATTTCTATCTATAGAATTAAAGAGAAAGTGTTAGCACAAAAAAATTAAACAACTTACATTGAAATAAATGCTTAATAAAGCAAACAAATAAATATTGAACTTTTCGTTTTTGTACATTTTGATTCCCTTTAGGTCATATATACTATTGCTTTTTTTTTTTTTCTTCTGACACCAGTTGTTACGTTATTTTCTTCCTTCACGTTCGTAGATTTGGAGTGAACAACGACGACACTTGATGAAGTATCGAAACACACTTTGTTTACCAGTATTGTCAAGACAGCTCCAAAACACGTTTTACAGTTGTCGATGAACTACTGTAAACACGCTGACACGATCAGCGACACAGTCTTCAGGTTATCAGGCTATCACAGTGGAGACAGCTTCACGGCAAAGCACTAGAGTACAGCTCTCGACTCTGCTTGGTCGTTCTCGGAACTCCACGTACTCTCGAGACTCCACGCTATAACTAGCAATGCACTCGACGATACACAAGAGTATAGCTCTCGACTCAGCACAGTCTACGACAAAACTCGGTGATGCACTAAAAGACTCTCTCAATGCACTTGACGACCAACTCGGCGCTAGACTTCGAGACACTCGCTCAATGACTGAATATCAGCTCACTAGACGAGGCACACACACTAACTGACTGCGGACCAGCAAGGTTTATATAGCTTTCGGCTTGTGTTCGAGAACATTCTGGGCTAAACCGGTAAGAATTCGTTCCAGAAGGTTCTCCATCCGTCCATGGTATATCGTGAATTTTGTCACCAAATGGGCAATTGCTCGTCAAATGTGGCAACCCTGGTTTCCCTTGCCATTCTAAAACTGCTTTGCGGGGAAGCCATCTTACCGCGCCTGTACATTTCGTAACAATACTTTGTTATGTCATAAATCACCATTTCGTATTTTTAATTTTATAATTGACATCTTACTGGATTTAAACTTAAGATCTAATATGCAGCAAAATCTCAAATCTGAAATCGTCAATGTCACGAATATTCTAGATCTTTGACTTTGTACTATATCTCTAACAGCAGTCAGTATAAAGCCACGCTATACAGGATATAAAAAAATGCAGTGACAGTTTCTTTTTCAAGGATGGTCATGGTCTGAACAACATTTTGTTGTTTAGGAAATGCTGCTTAGCACAGCTAAAAACAAGTCTAGCAGACATTAAATTAAATCAATGGAACATCGTGCATAATTTTTTAAAATTTCTGTGGCATATGCTCAGAATGAGAATGTCAAACAGGGCCCAATAAATAGGTTCTGCATGCTTTCATAGAGAACTGGGAAATAAAATACATCTTCTGTTTTGAAATGACATCAAAAGGAACATTTTCTAGATTTCATTACAAATGCTTTATATATTGCAGTCCAATGCACAAAGACTACGGTTAGTACTATTGGAAAAATGCACAACCCAAGCTGTACGGCATGTAAATGAGAATAAGAAAGTGTAATAAACAAATAATAACATGAATATTTGGTTCAGTTCACTCATAAAACCAAGATGACTTAGCTGATCACATTGTTGCTATCTTCAGCAAGTTATCACATATTTTAACACTGATTTTGCAATGCCCATATAACAGAGAAAAAGTACCTACATTTCTAATAACAGTTTTTAAATGGAACACCATCATTATGAGTTATAAAATATACTTTTTATGTCTTATTAGGGCAAGTTATTAAATTATAAATTATATAACTTTTTAAAGTGTGAAAACTAAGTCTCTGAATGAAGAAAAAGTTACAGAAATGATAATAACTTATGTGTAAGTAAGAAAAGATATATTTATAATTTATATAAATCTGTTATTAAAGGGATAGTAATAGTCAATTACTCAAGTATATGTTAAAATCTAAAATAAAGCTAACTCTTATAAATGTAATAATTATTTAAAATTATCTTTCTAAATATGTTACTTCTGATTCACATTTCTTACATGATAAAATATTTCTCAGATTGAATTTTCCTTTAAAATTTAAATACATATTTTGAATATAATGCCACTCATGATATGTCCCCATATATATAAAGGAAAATACTATATCAGACTTGGTAAGTGTTTGTATATGTTACAAACTTAACAACGGTAGCAAAGGAAGATGAAATGAGTTAAATAAAAACTGTTAAAATGAATAAATTATTAACTTTTATACATCCACTTGATATTTTATAAGAAACAATACATATCTTAACAGAATTATTTAATAGGTAAATATATACATCTTATAGTTACAGTGTTATTAATACTGAACTATATAGGCTAAACTGAAAATAGTCATTATTAAATTAGAAAAAATTATTATTATTTTATTGTTCACTTTCAACCAAATATAATCATTATTAAATATCATGGTTTACTAAATCACACAAATTTACAGGAAAGATGTAATAACACAGGTACTGAAACATGGTACGTACAACTCCAGCATTCCATAAGAAGAAAAAAAGCACTTCTACCTATATTGCTATCATATATGAGCTTATGCTCAGCTGAAGACGTTTTTTTTTCTTACCCCCGTGTATACCAAGGTTCTTTAATGTACTATACTATTATAATGTGTATACCTAATATTTATCTTTACAGTAATGCGACCACGCTAACCATATGCAGTGCTAGTAACTGCCAATAGCTCAAGCTATTAAAAAAAGCATCATACGACATTCTGTTGAAAATGAACTGCCATTTTTCTTTATTTAACCCCCCCACACACTAATCACATATGAAGTTTCCTGCTTCAGTAATTATGTTACATAGCTAGTAATTATGTTCAGTAATTACATATGACGCGCCATTACGAAATTTGGGCGATCAAGAATCAAGCTACAAAATACAACATATCATCACGATAGTTCATCCATCTCTGCGCGTGCGCTTAGTGTCACAATTTCACCAAGACCTCGTAAAACGCCAAATTTAGTCGCCGGTTGCGTTTCCTAGGCAGGAAGTAAAAATACGCGAGAACACCTTGTGTGCAGGAAAATGGGTCCAAGAAATTCAGTCACGTATATGTCGCCGCAAATTCAAAATGAGTTCATTGGAATTTTAGGAGATATAGTTCGCCAACAAATTATGTGTCAGGTACAAAAGGCCAAATATTATTCTAGTATACTATTTGATAGCATTAGCAGTCCAGATATTTCACATAACGATCAAACAAGCCAAGTTGTGCGATATGTAAAGATTGAAAATCAGGAAGTAGAAGTGGTGGAATCTTTTATAGATTTCATTGAAACAAAAAATAAAACTGCTGAAGCTATTTCTGACATGATTTTAAGTAAGCTTAAAGCTGATGGCCTTGATATAATGGACTGCAGAGGTCAAACATATGATAATGCTGCTGTCATGGCTGGAAAGCATACAGGAGTGCAACAAAGATTCAAAGACATAAATCCTAATGCCGAATTTGTACCTTGCTCAAACCATTCGCTAAACCTGGTTTGTTTACATGCTGCTTCAATCGAAACCAATTCTGTAACTTTCTTCGGCACTTTAGAACGTTGTTATGCATTCTTTTCCATGTCAACACACCGTTGGGACGTTCTAATTGCTGCTATAGGCAAGACATTAAAAACAATTCAGGATACACGATGGAGCGCAAGAGCTGAAGCAGTAGATATCGCATGGAACCACTATAAGCTTATTTTGACTGCTCTAGAAAAATTGACAGAAGCAAGCGAAAAGGACACGAACACACGTAGGAACTGTGTTAGTCGCAATGGAATCATTTTCTTTTTTATGTCTCTTGGGCCTTTGGAACCTGTACTGCATGAGGTAAATGATGTCCAAATTTATTTACAAACACAGGTATTCAACGTGCATCAGTGTGACAAAAATAAATGCTTTGCAGGCACTGCTCACAGAGAAACGAAATGAATTGGTAGAGGGTGCTATGAGTTATGCTAAAAATTTGTGTGAAGACCTTAGCAATTTAACGGAACCGCCCAGACGATTAAGGAGGAAGCAAAATTTTTGACGACGGAAGTAAAGATGCAGCTTTGTCCCACGAAAACGAGTTGAGAAGAAAGTTGTTTTCATCGCTGGATAAGGTAACCGAAAAATTCATCAGAGGTTTCAACAGCTATGGAATTTGTCGCAATGGCTAATCGCACCGACGTTGCGAATAGCTAACAGGCTAATCAAAATCGTAAAAACAACCTTGTATTTAGCGTAAGTATATTGAAACACTCAATCGATTTCGAGGGCAGCTAAAGGTCCCTCATCAGAAGAAAGAAATACATAGTAAGAAGAAAAATAAAGGGGAAAGAGTCTCAGAAACACGTGGTCCTTATCAGCACTGCACGTGGTTATAACCGGATTTTTAATCAGAGTTACACTGGCCGCCTACTTTTTTTGAGCCAGGCTATCTCATCAAACATGTAACACAAAGGACAAGAAAAATTAGCGAAGTTAAAAATAAGGAGCGAGGGGCAACTGCACCTTCACGCTCAAAATCTGAACTTCGAATAATGGAAAGCAACCACTGAACGGATTTTTATACCCTCTGGTAGTACCAAACGCAAGGAGGTAACGCCATCTATCGGCAAAAATAACCGAATTAAGATAGTAGAATTTTAAAGGCATTAGGAAGGACTGGATTGGACTTCAAATCATTAACTAAACATGCTAAATCTTTGTGAATATGAAAAGCCTCAAGAAAATCCAATTCACCTATGGAAGAAGCCTTTTGAATAATTTTTGCAGACCCAAAGTCAAAATTATGGTTAAATGTACAACTATGATACGCCATTGAAGACTTGTTAATTTCGCCTTTTCTGACATAAGATTCATGTTCCTTGATACGAAACTTCAACGCTCTTTTTGTTTGGCCAATATATCTTAAACCACACTAACACGATATTATAAATTCATGTCACCTTTAGCTGCCCTCGAAATCGATTGAATGTTTCAACATACTTACGCTAAATACAAGGTTGTTTTTACGATTTTGATTGTCACATTAGCGTGTTTCTCTTCTAGTCTAGCTAACAAGCTATTCACACCACCTACTTTCGCGCATGCGCACAATCAGCCCAGGTACCAGCATTTTACGCCGATTTTCGTAAGGCAGGCGGTAGCGAGAGCGAAGGTTGTTAACCCTAACTCAGCAATAGAAAAGGTTGTTAATAGTTCACCAGCAAGAGAATAAATTGCAAGTAATAATTATCAGTTAAAAAGACGAGGTCAATCTTTATACTTTATAATGTTCAGGAAATGATTAGATAAAATAGGGATTTAATGATGGTTCTAATTGCAAGCGAGGACGTGTAATTAGTTAAAAAATCTTTAATGTATTGTCAAAAAGACTACAGAAATTACTTAAATTCTTTTATTTAACAGAGCAATTTTTATGCAAACTTAGAACCTAGTCTTATAGCATAGACTGTCAGAATATTTATTCAATAAGAAAACTTACTGAAAATTATAACATTCTTATATATTCATCACTTTTTCAGTATCCACACATGTTTATACGTTCAAATGCCGTATTTCAAAATCAAAGTTATTTATGAAATAAAACCTTATAAAATCTGATAAATCATTTATGTGTACAAATTTTTAAATCTAAATCTCTTACATTAAATTATTTCTGTCTTTTAAATTACATCCCATTATTTAGGAATGAAGTCTTGATTGCGCAAAACACATCTTTGAAGCTAAATGTATTCTAAGAAGTACAAAAAATGTACAAGATTTTGTTCCCCCCCCAAATCAGTCATTTAAACTATTCCAACCTTTCAGGAAAACGATAAACATTGCGAACATAAAAATCTGCCCTTTTTTATACATACTTTAATAAAAGGAAATGCATTCCTTCTTTTTATAAGAGAAGGAACCCATTTTCCTTTCTAAACTTTTGAAACTTTCTAAACTTACAACACTTAGGCAGTTTGCGTATGTAGAATCTGTTCTTTTCGATTGGGTTCAAATGATGGATCTGACAACTCAATGCTCATGCGCAGTTAATGTTGGTGCGAATAGCTTAAGCGGCTACGGAATTTGTCGGACAAATTTGCTTTTCTTACTCCATCGAAACTACTGGATATTGAAGACCAGGATTTCAATTTAGAACGCGTGTCTCATGACATTGACAAAGAAGAGTTCAAGCTCGAACGCGTGCGGCTAAAGACTTCTATTGATGCTACGGGCAATAAAAAAGGAATTATTGAATTCAAGCCCACTTGATGTGTTAAAGTTTATTGTGCATTTAAGCTAGAAGTTTCCCTGCCTAATATAATAATATTGTTTCAAATATTCCTCACAATTGCCATAAGCAATGCCAGCTGTGAGAGAAGCTTCTCTAAACTGAAGATAATCAAAAATTATTTAAGATCGACAATGAGTACACTGAAATTGACTAACCTGTCTGTTTTGGCTATTGAATATGAAATGACTGATTCAATCGATATTGATAGTGTTATTAAAGATTTTGCTATGAGGAAAAGTAGAGAACTGAAAATTTAAATTATGAAAGGAGTTTAATTTATATTTCTAATAGATAACAAAAGAAATAATCAAAAAGAAAATTTATAATTATTTTACCAATAATTTCTTTTCAGTAAAGGATTAAATAAATTGTTACCTACATTTATTTATATTAGAATATATTTTTTTATTCTGAAAGTTGTTAAAAATGATTTTCTTCAATGAAAAAATATTTGTTATAGTACAACAGTCAGTTATGTTTTAAATAGTATTTATTAATATTTTCAATTAACAATAATTTTTTCCAAAGTAATAATACTGTTTTTAGATAATAATTGGTTAATGTTAGAATGTAAAACATATTTTCGTAATTAAATTTTGTCTTCGAGTTTGTAAGAGTTTTAAATTCTGGAGAAAATTAAATTCTCTTTGCAGCTTAATAATATTTTCTTTGCACTAGAAAATTTCATCTTTATAATAATATCACATTTTGTAGCAGGAAGGGACAGCAAATGTAGTATCTACCCCGGGCGGCAGAAACCTATGCTACGCCACTGTTCTAAACATTCTTAGGGCCTTGGGGAATGTTCTCTTTAAAGAAAAAGCGGCCAAGAATGAAATCAGCAATACCATAACATACAGTAATGTCAATAATCAGGATGCAGAAACTGTACATGCACACGTTCTACGATAAAATAAGATTTGTACGACCACAAAAGGTTTTTAAGGCGATGATTTGTCAACGGCTTTCTGGCCAATAGGAGGCTATCAAAATCAGTGCGTTTGTCCTGGTCTCCAAGATGCAGCTCTTGAAGAACATGGATGTTGTATAATTACCACTTTACAATGGATCGCAGAACCTTTCATACTGACGACCAAGGAAGAGAAAAATCCCCTGATAACCGCTCTAGCACTTGTCGAGGAATATTGGGAACCGGACTCTTTCGATCACGGTAAGAGTAACTTCTTCAACAGTTTTATTTTAAATCCTTTTCCCAGTATGCACAATTCCACAGTCACTTCAAATTTAGTAATAATCTTTTTCACTTTGCCTTGACTAGGCCCCTTTTGTAGGCCTTACAAAACTACAAAAACCTACTGCACTGCAATAGGCTTGAAAGTACAGTAGGTGCGATATTCTCGCAGTGCACTTGAAAAAATTACTGCCGTTCTGATAAAACAACTTGATAATTAAAGCTCGATCTTTCTTCTCTAAAGGAATGGTGAAGATTGATTTTACGGTATCCACTACTGGCTTTTTAAACGCTCCAGATTTGCCTAATGTCCTTTCGACATTGCATGAATAGCACCATCTTTCGGTTGAAATTTGAACTAGTAATTTTTATTGCAGATTTCTTTTCCTTATGATCCATATAAGGTATATACCAAGTTTCAATGAAATTGGTCTACTAGAACGGGTTCTACATAGGTTTAAGTAGGGTAACTTTAATTATAACCACCCTGTATGTAAATCAAATTCACAGTGCAAATGAAATTCACAGTACTGTATTGGTTCAAAAAGAAAATATTTATTTCTTTTCAGTGATAAAATTTCAAACACCTAGAAGCTTACAAACTACGCTGTTCTTTCAGCAATTGGAAGTGTGTTAGTTTTACAAGTTTAAAGATTTATTCAAGTGTTTGTATAAATCTTTATAAAATTCCGCAAATAAAATAGAAAAGTAATGATAACAGTCATGAAAAATTTTTATCTATGTAAAGTCATCAAATAAGAGGATGAAATGTATTAAAAGTTAATATTTTTTAAATAGCAACATTTGCATATAAAAGCAACTACTGTGATCACTAAAATAAAGAACTGTATTGCTGAGGTTTTTTTCAAACTGATAACAGCAGCGATGATACATCTAACGCCTCACATTGTGTGACCGTGCTTGATTACACCTTTCAATATTTTTCATGAAGCATTTTAACACTGCCACCCCATCTTCATGTAATTGCAATTTATTGTGACTTATATATACGTAATTACTTTGGAGTGTGAGAACAGGAGAGAAAAAGAAGAAGCTCAGAACATTAAATAATAAAAATATGATTAACATAATAGTTGAAATTTCTCGTTGTGGCCATCTGTTGTAAGCAGTATATCTAACGAAATAAATAAACGTCAGTGTTGAACATGAGCTTTCTAATGCGACTACTTCCTCTGTTTGTAATTGATGTAAATTAGTTATAAATTAAATATACAACAAAACTTCATATATTTGATTGCTTATATCTCTATACAGTTCTTTATTTTTCTCCCAATTAGTGTTATATGACTTTATAAAAGTAAAGCCTGTAATATACAGGGTGATTTTAAATTCTTTTTACAAATTAAGAGGGGTGATAGTACTTGCTCATCCAGATGAGCAATAATTACCATAGAACATTGGGTCGCATTCCATTCTGAGCGGCAGAAAAGAGAAATATTAGAATTCCAACCTGAA